AAAAAAATGATTTTATTTAAAAATGTCAACCGGTGTTTTTTTTTGTTTTTTGGAGGAAATTTTTTTCTATTTTAATTGTTTGCGAAGCAAGAGACAGGCAACAAATGCGATTACAAAGCAGGACTGTTACAATTAATTTGTAGTTTAATTAAATTTTCCAAGAATTAATACACAAGCCGTCATCGAATCGCCAACAATTGGCTAGTGGAGAAACGAACGAACTCAATGAGGTGTAACCAAACTCGCTATCGTCTATCCGTGCTAGCTAACTTTGTTGGTGCTTTCACATGCAAAATTCTTCTTTAAGCGACCGGAACTCAAACATAGCGAACGGGTTTGCCGTGCCCTATGTACACAAAATGCAGCGATTCGTCCCAGCGCTACACTTGCACCTACGCATCTTGCATTTTGATGGCTGTCGCAATTTAACACACAGCACTTCATTTTATTAGTTTTTACGCAGTCTTCAACTCAAAAATCACTCACAAATTGTAAATTAACACAATTTAAACTGATTTTTCATGATCGTCTGCGAAACATCGCCCTTAGCGGTTAGCGGTTGGGACCAAATGCACTATCCGAATCGGTTAAGGACCAAATATACTACCGGAAACTGGTATCGGTTAGGGATCAGACCAAATGCACTGCCGGAAATTGATTGACGAAAAGCAGCCAACTTTCCGGCCGACGCTCACTGAACACACACATTGCTCACATTCGGTTGATTTCAGAAATCTCCCTACTTCCGCACTGGTATGCCTGCTGTTTGACAGTAGTGCTGTGTACTTCCGCAAAAGCAGAGGTAGTTGTGCGTAAAGATGAGTGTTCTGGCCGATAAAGAAAACTGTATACACATTTAGTTAAGTGAAAACATAATAAATTTTATATGCAGACAACAGAGTAATACAATAAACAACGAGGAATTCAATGAGCTCAAGTGTTTTCTATGCCGTCAAAAGCAGCTGCATTGTTTGAAGTGCATACATATCTGAAGAAGAAAAAAAAGCGTTGCATATTTTTTGGTGCAACTAGAAAATTCGCTGAACTTGAAGCTGGGTAAAGCGTGTGTGTACCCTTTCTAGCGCATATATTGCCAATTCATTTGTATAGCTAGTGCTCGCAGTCATGTACACGGTGCCAGGCGCCTCACTGGCGGTATGTATTTCTTTTTTTCTTGTCATGCTTTGTGATGCGTTTCTTGGTTTATTTTCATAAAATAAATAGTTTTATTTACTTTCTTTAATTGTAATTGATAGTAATATCGACAAATTTCAACATACTTAATTCTCCACAAGGCAAATCGATTTAATTAAATTTAATGTTGGTAATGTTTAATATGCATTGATTCTCCGCCACATTTCACCTGAAATGCAAAAAGACGTAACTAAGATTTTTATATTTTTTCCTAAAATGATGTTGGGAGTTGTAATTCCATGAAATCCATCATATAAATCAAAAAGTGAATATTGGAATTTTTATTGGTTATGACCAGGGAACGGATTTTTAGGACCTAAAAACCTATAAAAAAGGCAAAAAAAATAGCGAAAAAGGCAGGAAAAGGCACAAGGGATTGCAAAAAAGGACAAAACAAAATAGGCACTAAAAAAAAAAAAAAAAAAAATACGAAGAACAATCAAAAAATACATTTATTTTAAAAATGTTTATATTACAAGTAAAAAGAGAAAAACTATGAAATAGTTTCATTATGGCTGCATTTCTTTATACATTCTGAACGTTTGGAAATAAACTTTTTTGTTTACTTATTCTTTAGATCGTTCCTGATGATATTTCAACGTATATTTCAAACTCATTCTGTTTATTCCGGCTGTGAAATGGGATTATCCGGAATGCCTATATGAAAAACTTGTATTTTTATCCGTTCGAGTTTCTAACTCATAAAACTTTAATCTATATAGTTGTAGTAACATTGAACCACAAGATACATTTTGAAGTTTTCTGGCAGCATTTTCCTTCGATTTTCGCGAAGAAAAGCCTTGAATGTACTAAATGTGCGCTCGACGTAAGTTGATACAAGTGGAGCCCATTTAAAATGTGGAACGTTTGAAACCTTCATATTATCAGGAATAAGGGCGTTTCCTCGCCCTTTACAATTTTATCCACACCCCTTATTGTCTCCAAGCCTACGTTAGCTGAGAAAACGGCTTTGAATTTTTCCAACTCCAATTTGGCAAGAGGTCCTTGCGCTTCTATAAGTGTATATTTTTTAATCTTAAAAAAAAACTGTAAATGCTATAATCACTTTTTTAAAGGTAGAAAAGGCAAAAAGGGCAGATATCTTAAAAAAGGCAAAAAGAAGGCAAATATCTTAAAAAAGGCAATAAAAGGCAACATCAAATGTGTATATATGGCATCAGAGAAAGCTAAATCGTGGACATTCTTAATCGAATATACTCTATCTCTTTAGCAGAAAAAAAGGCAATTTCCATGAAATCCGTTCCCTGGTTATGACTTTTTGAAGTTCAGCGATAATGCTTGTTACGTCTTTTTGCATTTCAGGTGACGATCTGTATATTGTCTTGCAACTCTGTGCTTTTTCCGTTTACCCTTTCACTTTACTATCGATGCATCGATGTTTTTGCGTTCTTGTTAAACATCGATCGTTGATGACCACTATCGATGTTTCCTTTGTACACTTCTGTGAGTGAGAACTCCAAATATCACTAGTGTCATTCTGCGAAATACTAAAAAAAAACAAGTAAGAAAGTCTAAGTTCGGGCGGAGCCGAACATTAAATACCCGGCGCAAGTATTAAATATGTTTTTTCACCTTTCCGCAACCTTCCGCTAGATGGTAAGCCAGGGTGTATCAATTTTGAATAAATTGGCGTCCTTCAATTTCGAAATATTGAAGTTTCAAGCATTTCTGAAATTTACCGTTATATGAGAAGCGGCCATTATTTTAGTCCGATTTCAATAATTTTCAACGTTTTGCTTCTGTGTGGCAAGTACAATAACCACACCGAGTTTGGTACACGGTTACCGCTATACATATATGTGATCATAAGTGGGCGGTGCCACGCCCATTTTCCAAAATTTTACCATAAACGTATTTCTTGGTAAAGAATTGTTGCAAGCATCAATTTTGAATAAATTAGCTTCAATATTTACTGATTTATCGAAGATTTTGTATTTCTCTAAATTACCGTTATATGGGATGTGGGCGTGGTTATTGTCCGATTTTAAAAAGTTTCGGCGATTTTTTATGCTGTACCAAGGCCAACAACTGTGCCAAGTTTGGAAGAAATTGGTGCAGCGGTTACCAAGATATACACATGTAACCATAAGTGGGCGTGGCTACGCCCATTTTCCAAAAATTTATAATATTCTTATTTTTCGTCTAAAAATTATTGTAAATATCAATTTTGAGTGAATAATCTTCAGTAGTTACTAAAATATCGCAGTTTTCGTATTTCTGGAAATTACCGTTATATGGGAAGTGGGCGTGGTTAAAGTCCGATTTCGCCCATTTTCAATACCAACCTACCTTGGATTAAGGGAAACCTACATACCAAATTTCGTTGAGATATCTCAATTTTTGCTCGAGTTATCGTGTACACGGACAGACGGACAGACGGACAGACGGACAGACGGACGGACAGACAGACATGGCTTAATCGATTTCTTTTTTCATCCTGATCATTTATGTATACATTTGTCTATATCTATCTCGATTCGTTTTGGCTGTTACAAACAACCGTTATGTGAACAAAATTAATATACCCTTGTGCACAAGTGCGCTCGGGTATAAAAATGAGTTATCGAAATCGTTCAAGCAGTTCTTAAAAGATCACTCGACAACCCAAAAACTTTTGTTAATACACATCTGTGGTGAATTCCGAAATGGCAGCTAAAACTTCAACCATTTGTTTGTTTTTTCCATAATAATTTTTCATAAAAACTTTTTAATATTATTATATTAGCTGCATTTCTTTGTAAGCGAGCGACAAAAAACGCTAAACTCGGGTAAAATTTTCTTTTAGCAACTTAAGCAACCCTGCTGGTAGCTGGCAAGAAACATGTGATTAGTTCAACGGGATTTAGACACGAAAAACTATAGAATTTAATTATTATGCGAGGTGTTTCGTAATATATATATCTACTTCTTTAAATTATATATCATGTATATATGGAAACAAAAATTTCCTTCTCTACTTTCTCATTAACAATTCAGAACAAACAGAGCAGTTTTTTTTACTTAACAACACTCTTCAGGCCGTGTATGATAAATAGCCGAGTTTGTGTTGCTGCTTTCCATGTATTTCGTCATTTAAGCGAGTGTTCTTTTGTAGGTCGGTTGCAAAAGAATGGGCCTATTAAACGGAATTGGATTGTAAATTATTCCTTTCGTTTGAGAATTATTACTTACTTTCAAAATCCACACCTGCAGAAGCATAACACCGCTTTTCAAGAACTAATAAAAATTACTTTCTCGAAATGTCTACATCCAAGAATTTTGTGATTGAGTATGTTCAGAAGGCGCAGCAGTTGAGCACAATCGTTGCTAAAAAATTAGTAATTGTAATGTGTATTATGAAGGGCTTCATACATTAGTTGACAAATTCCAAACACACAACATGTTGTCTCAAATGATCAGAAAAATATTACGATCATCTAACACGCAACTGTACAGCTGATCAGAAGTACAAAACAACGCGTTCAGAAGGTGTAATCGCAATTGTTACTGAAATTTTGCACTTTCTGAACGTGCCCATTGAANCAAATTCCAAACACACAACATGTTGTCTCAAATGATCAGAAAAATATTACGATCATCTAACACGCAACTGTACAGCTGATCAGAAGTACAAAACAACGCGTTCAGAAGGGCAATTGTTACTGAAATTTTGCACTTTCTGAACGTGCCCATTGAAAAATGCAACCGTTAGTCGATAGTCCCGACTATCAACCGATAGTTAAAAAAAAGTGAAACCATCGATAGTATCGATAGTGCCATCGATAGTTTGACAGCTCTAAATTGAAGCTTTCATCTGTTTGCTTTTTGCCTTCGTTTCGTTCGCTTCAATTTGCTCGCTCGTCGGTACGCGCATGCCTATTCTATTTTGCCAATACGAATATTGTAAAACATCAAAATAGGAGCGTGAATTTTTCAAGAAACACATAGTTTATTGTGTTTTGTTGTTAGCGGTGTGGCCGCAGAATAACCAGCCGAAAATACAATCATTTTTCCATAATACATCTAATCGATTGGGTCAGTGATTGCGAAAAATCAGGTTACGGGACTTTCTCGTCTGATCGATTTTGCGTGCAATTTGTTGCCGTTTTGTTTGATTTGTTCGCGTGGATGCTTGTATGCTCGCATATAAAGTGCGAACTTAACTTTACCAATAGCGTGGAAAAGTGATATTTCCATGAGACAAAATTAATTATTTAAATTTGCTATAAATAACTTGCGTTCGAGTGATAACAAAAACAATTGTTTTGTTGGCATTCTTCTACAAAGATTACGCGTTGTGGGATTTCCGAGTTGGCAACTCGTTTGCCCATGAAATAGCAGCGGAAAAACAACAAAATAGCGCTTGTGATTGTGGCGCACATAATAAATATTATTAAAAGAGATAAAATTTGCATATTCCAAAGGTAAATATAAAGTAGTGTACTTGTAGTAATCATCTATTTACATGGCGCGTGAATTGGGGTGAAATTTTGCGTGCTTCATACTTGTGGAGATCTAATTAGACGCAACAGTTGGTTGCGTGTCTTCCACTTATTCGTACTAGAAATGAGAAATGAAGGTTTAGCATGGTCTTATTGGAATGTTTGCATGTTTCACATGAGCTGCCAAGTTGGTGTGAATTATTGGCACTAATAAGATTTCTAACTAGTAAAAGGTGGGTAACTGGCAATAGGAATCGTTTGTGGTAATTGCACAGTTCAATTTTCATATCGATAATCACCAAAAGACTGGCATAACTCGAAAAACGGAATTTTCGAGAAAATGATGCGGAATTATTCGTTATGTGTGTTGTGTAGTCTCGGCGCATGAAGACTTGGTAAGCTATTTGAAAACTTTTAAACACGTCTCCTGAATAATGCCGTCTTGAATTATCGCAGTCTTTTAGTAAATCAGCGATATCTTAATTGTGTTTCGTTTTTACTGAACGTAATAACATAAGAGCGTTTCAGACGTGGCAATATTTCCAACTTTTCCACGCAAATCGCTGTCAAATTGCGAAACAGAAATTTTATACCGATGTGTGAACAGCCAGAAAGACCTTTCAGTCGCATTTCGGCAAATCGTTTTCGGAAATATATTTCAACTTGCTCGTACTGCACTAGCAAAAGGCAATTCGGCTCTCTGAAATAAAAGACCTCTTTCAAAAGACACTTTACATGCTCATGAAACTGCTTTCTAAAAATTTCTCAATTTGACAGCCTTTTCGAAATATATTGCATTGCCACTTCTGACAGGCTCTTTATCACTTCAGTAGCATCCTCTTAAGCTTCTTGGAGTTTTGCTGTTATATACACACTTTGGCAGCTCTGGGAATCCTTTGGAAATAGAGCCCTTTAGATGTAGTATCTGGCAGCGTACTACCGATATTGACAAGTTTATTACCTGAAGCTTGGAAAACATCTTATAAACCGAAAAAGGGAGTGTGTTAACAGTTTATGGTTTTAATTTCACTGAACAAAGCTGAAATCCTCACTCCCTTATGGCTTCGTTGATTAATGAAAAATTCGGCTTAAGATTGTGTAAATTTGCGGCGTCAGAAATGCTTATGAAATCCTAATATTTATAACGAAATTAGTAAATCTAATTCGGGATTAATATATATCGCACGGTTAATAATATACAGAATTATATCAAAATTAAAATTTTGTGAGAAAACGCAATCAAAGTTAGATCAATTCATACAGTTGGTATACAAAAGGACAGATAGATCTTTGCCAGTCTTGGGAAGTTTAGACCTAATACATACAGTGACACAAACAAATGACCACTTGTTATTTTTTTTTTTATAAACGTATCTTTTGTTTTTCGAGCCAAAGTTTTCTTTTTTTTCTATAAAAATACCTTCCTAAATCACAGTTTCAAATTTTGTACAAAATTTAGGAAAATTCAAAATTTTTCGTCAAGACTTCAACGTTTAGTTTTATATCCCATACAATTTTAGTCCAATGAAATGCTAGTTTCAATCGGCAAAAAAATTGCGTTGATTTTTGAGATTTTTTGTTTGTTTGTTTTTTTAGACTGCTTTTGTGTGAGTTTTATATAACAAGTGCAATTTACAAAAAAAATTCATGCTTATATGGAAAAACGTGTCAAAATTAAATATATTCCGACGAAATGATAACCTCCTTTTTGTGAAATCAGTTCAAAAAAAACATTAGGAATATTTAAAAAAAAATCAACATGTGGTCATTTGTTTGAGTCACTGTATAAGTGGCTGTCTAGGTAGTATTAGGTATTTTTTTATTCGGAGTCAAACCTTCTAAAGTCACTTCAGCTACTTTAATTGACGGGCACAGATATGTCCGTACATACCCTTTTCTAAAGCTTTTAATCTTCACAGGTTCTTGTTTATCAGCCGTTTCTTAGTTAAAAAAAAAAAAAATGTGTCAGGCTATGTATTTCTGTAGAAATCAACTAAGCACATGTTTACCAATCGCTAAGGCTTCTGCTATTTTTTGTACATATGTATTTTCGCAATATTTACTAAGTTGCCATCACTTTGCCCAAATCGCTGGCAACGTCATCACCTGTGGATAGCTACATATAACCACGACTTTGAGCAACCCGTCTTGCCTTGGTGAACCTCCAAGTTTTCATGATCTACGCTTTAAAAAGAAAACTCGAAAACTCTGTTCAAAGTGTTTATATTTTGTATTGGTTATTTTTTATTTCTTTGAACGCTTCATTGCATGCGCCTTTCCTTTGTTAACCAAGCAGCCAACCAGCCAATGTGCCGCTTAAATTGCTGGTAACCGAAGATGTGGTAAATGCCTTTCTCTTTTTGTACAATCGCGCCAATTTCCCTACCAGCGACTACGAATAACTTTTTAACAGCCACACGTTTTTATTCGTCGCAGTTGTGGATACGTCATTTGCTGGTGTACGAATAAATATGTAGCCATCTATAAAGAAACTGTAACAAGCTCCAAGTGTTTCTTTGCTTTTATTTTGACAAACTTGATTTGTATTTTTTATTTAATGTTTGTCGAACTAGGCGTACGTAAAAGTGGCAGAGGATGCGATGTGCGATAGACGCGCGAGTTCGCAAACCGGTATAGCCGTGTTAATTGTAATGTGTTGGCTGGCGATCGTCCATCCTCTTTGCCAGCTGATGCAATTAAAAAGCGCCGAAAACTACTTGTTGTTTGCTGTGGTGCGAAGTACTATGTCACTTCTTTGGGTTGTTGACATTATTTGGCACCGTTGTCACTTCGAATTATTTTACTGCATTCTGTTATTTTTTCTTTTTTTATGATTAATTGTATTTCTTATGTTTGGTTTATTGCAAAATTTGATTTTTTCCTGTGTATGCTCACAAACTTTAACCGAAGTTTTTAATTCGCCTACCATCAACCACGGGGTTGCTGAACTCAAATAACTCGATTTTTGTCCATTGTTTTGGGTGCGCTTTCTATNGTACTTCCAAAAACGATCTTGGCATATTTTCTCGTCCATGTCATAAAACCATTACATTCCATAAGTCTGTACTTGTTCAGTTGGAAAACTAAAGAAATATTTAAACTAAACTGAGCTATGGTCATTAATATATATAAGTTTAGTTGAATGTGACTTTACTATATTTTTCTGTATCCTTCTCCACTTATGTATCTAAATATCAGCCGATGATTTTCGACATCTTTCTTATTCATGTACATACATATGCAACCTCACCGCAAAAACTATTGGCACAGAGAATTTTTCACAACACTACATATGCAACAATTTTTATTTGAATTTTTTCCGCTAATTTTTTATAAAAAATTATGGTTCATACTATACAAGAAAAATGTAAAAAATATGATTTCTAAACTTTGTGCAAAACTAAGGAAAATTCAATAAATTTTCCACTTTTTTATCAGATTTTTACAACCTCTCTGAGTATGCAGTTTTGTAGCCCATTAAATTTTAGTATAATGTAATGCTAGTCTGAAGAAGCTAAGACTCCTTTTTTCATATTTTTTTCTTAAAAAAAAAATTCGAAAATACTTTTTAAGGAAAAAATTCGAAACATCTTCAACAGAAAAATTCTCAAAAATCAACGCGTTTTTTTAGCAACTTCAAAGTTGAATTTTTTATATAAATAATTCTCAAAAAATGATTAAAAATTTGAAAATTTGTATGAAAATATATGAAATTTTCATGAGTTTTGCACAAAGTTTAGCAATTATATTTTTATGTTTTATGTTGTAATATTAGTTGGATTTTTATAAAAAATTAGCGGAAAAAATAAAAATTATTGCATACCAACACTGAGTGTATGTATTCATAATTCATAATTAAGTTATACACAAAAAGTGAATTCTCCTTTCGTATATGAATGCAAAAAGCCACTTTCATTTTTCTCCCATTACCTCTTGCATGTGTAGAATTTTTTACGCTGTTTGTTATCTTTTTTATAGTTTCGAGTAACAGTATTCGCTATCGGAATCAAAGTGTAAGTGAAAATAATTGTAGAAAAAAACAAAATTCACTTTTTCAAATTTATGATTTTTTTTCGTTTTCGTTTTACTGCAATCACTATTAATGCACTTGTGACTATTTAGCATTCGCTTAATGCCATCGTAAGGCTTCGTGTTGCATGTAACTAAACACATACCGTCAATGCATACAAATTGGTGAAGTAGGTAAAAGTATGTATATGTAAATTATTAATTATGGTTTTGTTATTGCATTGCTTACTTCCTTCGTATGCGCGTTTTTTTGATTTTAATTTCTCAAGATTGCTGCAATTTATATTGATTTCTACATGGGCCTCAGTAGATTTCGAAACGTGTTCAGTCTTTCTTTTGATTTAAAATTGTAATTGGAAATGAACCATTTATGGGTGGTAATATTTTCTGTATGTTTCATGGCAGAAGCCCTCCATGGTATTATTTTGCATTGAATTCGTTTGGTTCGATGTGATTTGACTTGGTGTTATTATGTAAATATACATATCGCTAGCTTAGAGCGAAAAGTTGCTAAGTCCACTTTTTATGAAAACTCATATTTTGATACAGGAGGCGTGAGAAACTAAAAATGCATCGTTTCGAAAAGGGTAAAAGTCCTTGTTCATGTTTTCCCGTTTATATTGATTGAAAGGAAAATTTGCTAAGTCCAAAAAAAGCTCCGAAAATTCGATAAGGCTAAAATAGTACGAAATCTTTGAATAAAGATCGAATCCCTTTGATTCGTACAGAGTTTGTCTTTGCTTTAAGCAGGCAAAATGTTGTATTCAAAGTTTTGCGAAATACTTGAAGAAAATGGCTATAAGAAGTTTTTTTCCTCTCCTGTACAATTTTCAAATAGGGACTTAGCAACTTTTCACTCTAAGCTAGCGATATGTGTGTATGTATTAGTTTTCCCTGTTGTTGTTGTAACAGCAAACAAATTCCCCATAGAGTTTTTGGGGAGTGTTGCTGGA